TGAGCCGTTTCAATGCGACGGAGCAGCCCTGTTCAATAGAAATACAACCGGAGCCACAAAGGTGAGGGCCACGTGGGCAATTTTGAATTTTCTAGTAGCTGAATTAAAAAAATAAGTAAAAAGGAAGCAAAATTAATTTTAATCACATTTTAGTTTACCCAATATCTCTAAAATATTGCCCTTTCAATACATAATCAATATAAAATGTTATTAATGAAGTATTTCATGTTCTTCTTTTGGACTAAGGTTTTGGAATCCCGCCTGTATTTTATGCTCCTGGCACTTGTGTGTGGGCGGGAGCTTCCTAGAGGTCTCCGCTCTTCCTCCTGAGCTCTCATTGGCTTTTCAACTTGTCCATCACTCATGTAACCAATTGCCTGCATTTTCCCCTCTGTCTTAATTACTTAGTTAATTCTTAAAACTTTAACATGCACACACTAAAATCGCTCCACTGTCTCTTGCGTGTCCTCAGATCCTGGCCCCAGCCACCCCACACATGCAAATGAGGACAAATCCACCTCTTGGAGGACAAGTCCCAGTGTCTGATTCCTCCACTCACAAATCCAATCTCCCCTTTCTGGAAAGTTCTCCCTTGTAAATAAATGAGAATAGAAATATGGCCCATGTGGAAATATAATGTTGTTAAAACTACCGATTAAGTTTCACACAACCATGTGAGAGTGAATGAAAAGGTTTTAGCTTTTTAATTTAAGAAAAGAGGAATATGATATAATTTCAATTTGTGATAAGATGTTCTCGATACTGCAGTTTCAATTGGATTACATCCTAATGTACTTTATAAAGTGTCAGGCTGGCTGCAGATTAAGGTGTGTGTGTGATATTCTTTATTAACAGTTTAATGGGCCAACATTCACTCTGTCCATCTTCATCAGTTTTTCCAGCCCACCTGGGAGACCTTGTTAGTGCAGAATCCAAAACTCCGACCTGGATGGGAGGGGAGATGCCTAGGTGGACAGGCAGACAGGCAGGACAGGTGGACAGGGCTCCCAGGACCTGCCACAGCCACCTGGTCAAAGGCTTCTGCTGGGAGGGGTCTCCAGGTAGGTAGGCAAGGGAAGTCCAGGGCAGGAGGGCCCCAGGAGTCTGAGCTCTAGATATGTGGGGCAAGTGGGAACCAAAGCAGCTGGGGGGCGAGAGAAGTTTCAGCGGCAAGAGGCAGATCCCAGAGGGCAAGGTCTGCAGGTAGGAGGAAGGCCTGGGACCCTTAGCCTCTGTGCACCCCTCCTAGTGGGGTTAGGAGTCTGCAGGGCCGAGGGGATGCAATTACCCAGCGCTCATGTCCACCTCCTACATCATGCTCCAGATACCAGGACTCCAGAATTGCCTGAGCATGCATCCTTGCGATCCCCTTCAGGCTCTTCCTGAGCCCCTCCCACCACTGCTGTGCACACACCCAGGCTGGAAGAGAGGTGTGGGCTGGGCATCCACCACAGGCCTCTCCCTCCCAGAGTAGGACAGGGAAGAGAAGGGGTGGGCTGTGGACTTCACTCTTGCCCCAGGCCCCACAAATGTCAGGCTGGGCCTGGTGACGTCTGGCCTATGTGGACACAGAGAGCTGGAGACTCAGGCTTCATTCATTCACTCATTCATTCATTCATTTGCTCACTCAAGTATTTGTTAAGTGCCTACTATGTGCTGGGCGCCATTCTAGGTGCTGGGGACAAGCGTGGGAAGACAGATGAGCTCTCTGGCCTCACAGGAGGGTCCATCTCAGAGGGAGGGATAGACAAAACCAGCAAACATCTAATACAGAAGTTGAAAACAAACCAAGGTAATGGGGAGAGAGCAGGGGGCTCAGGGGAGTCTCTCCGAGGAGAGCACAGTTAAGCAGAGACCTGAAGACCAGGGAGCCAGCCTTGCACAGAGCAGGGGCTCCAGGCAGAGGGACTGGCAAGTCCAAAGGCCCCGTGGCGTGGAGGCCAGGGTAGCTGGAGCGGAGGGAGTGCGGGGGCAGTGGACAGAGGTGAGGCTGGAGGGACTTTGGGAAGACAGCCCAAGTCCTGCCCACTGGATAGGAGTCCCCACCTCTCTCCTCCCCACACACCTGTGCCCTGTAAGGGCTGGAGCCATCTCCCTGACCCCATCCCAAATGCCCACATGTCCAGGTCTTAATCCACGCTGGTGCCTGTGCCTGGGATGTTCTTCAGTCCAGGCTTCATTCCACAGACCCTCGAGACTGCAGAGCTGTGGACCAGTGTAAACGCAGGGGTGTGGGGTGCAGACCAGGGAATAGCCCTCCCCTTAACACCCCCCCACCACTACATCGACTCATGAACATTGGCTGTTCTGGACCATGTCTGGGGAGAGAAAGGCCCTGACACGTATTGAGCACCTCCTGTATGCATAGGCGGGAGAGAAGGGTCCTGGGAACTCCCAGCAGACGTGGGCTTGTGTCCAGCTAGGTGGACCCGCTGAGGCCCAGTCTCCCATCTGGGGTGCAGGGCTCCCCTGGCCCTCCCTGCAAGTTGTCTGGATTGCCTAGGGTGAGTGAGGCTGATTTGTTCCCCAATGGGGGGCAGGGCAGTCTCTGCAGGAGCCAGGGCAGGGGCGAAGCCAGCCCCACCCCGAGGGCTCATCCCAGTGATCTCACAGGCCCGTCCTGCTCTGCCTCCTGGTTAAATGGACGTGTCTCAGCTACTGTGCCCCCAAGGACACATTCCTGTTCCTCAACTGGGTCCTGTGGGGTCTGAAGGCAACAGGCCCCTGGCAGACAGCAAGGACATTCTGCGGGCAGACTCAGCGCCAGAGGGACTTAACAACTTGCAGGGGCTCCGTTTACCAAGCACCAACTATGTGCCCAGCCTGGGGCCCACCTGGTACCCTCCAGGGCTGCTTCTGGGGTCTACAGGAAACAGCCTGGATGGCTGGGAGCCAAAGTATCAACACCCCAGCTCCCTTGCCCTGTGGTGTGATACCTCAGAGGTGTGTGTCCCTAGCAGACTGAGCCCCAGGTGCCCACAGTCATAACTTGCTGGATAACACTCCCTTCTCTTCCCTGTTTGGAAAATCCCATATAGGTCCCCTCTCCAGCTTCACCCCACCAGGGGCTCCCAGGATCACTTGGAGGGCACAGCCCAGGAGCCCTGGACTCCCAGGTTCCAGTCCCCACTTGCATCTACCTTGCTGTGTGGCTTCAGGAAGCTGTATTAACCTTTCTGAGCCTCAGTTTCCTTATCAGTAAAATGGAGCTGCTATGGGGCTCTCTCCTGGGTGCCCCGTCCCCGCTAAGTGGCACTCTGCCTCCCCCTTGTGGTGAAGAGGCTACACTGCGAAGGTTCCCTGGTAGGTCAACAGCGCAGGGGGGCTGAGGTCTCAGTGGGACTCACAGGCTCAGCTGCAGGGTCAGGCAGGCCCAGTCCAGGCTGCCCCCCAGGCTTCATTCTCCTGACACACGAGAGGCCCCGGGACCTCTGCTCAGAGCTGCCCATGACGCCCAGTGCCCGGGAGCCCACGCTATGCTGCTGCACCTGGCCACATGCTGCACGGCCCAGGCCCTGCTGACCACCCAGGACAGCTCCTCTCCCACCATGTCTCCACCCTCCAGCTCCTCCTGCCCCCCATGCTGATCTTCAATCTCCCAGATCATTGCCTGTGCTGTTCCTTCAGCTGGGTGCACCTTCCCTATCTACCTGGGGACCTCCCATTCATCCACACCCAGGGAGATCTCCAGGGAAAAGTCCCCTGGGGGCCTCTAGCATACCGCTGGCTGGTGTCTGCCTCCTAGTCCCCAGCAGGCAGATTCCACCACGACGCTCGGTCCCAACAGCCCCATCTCCAGAAGAGGCCTTGGGGCCGGGCAGAGCACTGACCCCTACCCGTTGCTGCTGTGTGCCCATCGCCAGTGGCTGCACCTGTCTGAGCTTCCTTTTCTCTCCTTGGGGGTCCTCAGGGGCTGGAGAGCTGAGGGCCCTCGTCCTGTTCCCAGAGGATCCAGACGCCCACAAGTGTGCCAGCAGGGGTCTCACAGTCATCAGAATGCAAGGAGTTCTCTGAGCTCCTCCACCTTCATGGCTATTCCAGACATACACATGGGACTCCGCAGCCCATCAGTCACCAAAGGCTCAGAGAAGGCAATGCCCTAGCCCAAGGCCACACAGCTGCCAAACAGCAGAGCTGTGACTGTAAATACAGGCTCTATCCCTGCACCAGCAGCCCACCCTCCTCCCATACCCCACGCCCACCTTACCACCCGGGAGTTTTGGCTGAGACCCTCCAACACGCCATGAAGGAGAGATGCAGGAGCTCTGCTCAGCGTGACCCCATGGAGCTCAAATGCACACAGCCAGGGGCTCCGGGCTCTGACCCAGCTCAGGCCCTGTCCCCACGTGCCACCATGTGGGGAGTACTGGAGCTTTCCCACTGCTGAGGATCCACTGGGACCACCATGGCCAGGCTCCCATAGCAGCCAAAAACAGCACAGCAGGGCACAGCTGCAACCTCGCCCCTCCTGCACAGACGGGAGACCGAGGCCTCAGGAGGGAGTAGCTCTCTTGGCTCACAGAGCCTGACTGGGACCCATCTTCTGAGATCCGTCCCAACACGTGTGCCCTCCACCAGAGGTTGGGAAGGACAGGGGGCCCCACCCCTTTGCTGCCAGGGCCACCAGGAACTTGGGCCCTGACCAGGGGCCAGGGCTCAGATTCCTCCATCCCAGGGCCCTGCCTGGTCCACTCCCAGAGGCTGAGGTCACAAATCTCAGGCCACCAAGATGCCGTGATCCCCATGTGGGGCCAGCACCTGAGATGAGGGCTGAGGTTGCACAGATGCCACCATCCCTGTCTCCTGTGAGGCTCACGTCCAGCCCTTCTGTGCAGCCAGGGAGTGGCTAGAATGCCACCTCAGAGGGCCAGGGCCAGGCCCAGAGAGGGTCAGCGCCTGCCCAAGACCACAGAGCATGTCTGTGCTGGGTGCAGAGCCAGCAGCAGGAGAAGACCTTGGCCAGGTACTAGGCCACAAGGAGCACGTAGGCAAACATGAGATCGAGCAGGAAGCCATGCGGGCAGCTGCTTTATTGAGGCCACTCAGACCCCAGAGAGGGTGGCACAGGTCCTTGCTGCCCCCACGTCCCCTCCAGGGCCACACCACCAGTCCCTTCCTGAGCCCGAATGGCGGGGCTTTGGCCAGCCCTGCCTGGCCCACTGGCAAGCGTCCTGCAACCCTGGCCAGCAGCTCACTGCGGGGTATGGCTTTTGCTCTTTGGGGACCAGATCTTGGACAAGCGGAACCTGGGCTTTTTCCTCTGGAGGTCTGAAGAGGGAAGGGATGGACAGTGAGGCTGCAGTCACCCACTCATGGCCACTGCCCACACAAGTCCCCCTGCAGGAAATGTCCTTCCCTTCCACCCTCCAGAGTCCTCCCTGGACCTCCAGAGCCTGTAGGAAGCTGGGAGCCAGCAGCAGGGCAGACCCTGCAACCCTCCCCATGTGAGCCCCCCCATGCTGACTGAGCACCCTGGAGGGCAAGGCCCTGCCAGCATTCCCACACCCTGACCACATGCTTGTCAGCCACCTCTCAGCTCCCTCGAGGTCCAGGGAGCGTGCACAATTAGGGAACCTGTCTGTCCTCCTGCCACAGCTGCCAGCTGGGGCCTGGCACCCACCCCCACAGGGTGTCCTCTCCCAGCCCTGCCCAGCCCCCAAAGTTACCCAGCTTCTGGATCATGTTCTGTAGCATCTGGTCCTCCTCCTGCTCCCTGAAACAGCAACCGTGGTGGCCGTGAGGGATAGAACTCCCTGGATGGGAGTCGCAGGGACTGTCTCCAGTCTGCCTCACACCTGAGCCCTGAGCCCCACCTGGCAACCAGCCACCTGCCCTCTCACCTGCCTACAGGCCACATGTTGGTGATGCCCTTCCCCTCCCTGGGCAGGTGCCTGCCCTCTCCAAGCCCAGACTCTCAACAGTGACATAGGGACAGGAAGGAACTGGGCCAACCAACCCAGTGATATGGAGACAGGGGGTTCTGGGGCCAACCACCCCAGTGACATGGGGACAGGTGGGAAGTGGGCTGACCCATGCCAAAGCCCTGCAAGCTCATAAGAGGGTCACATTTGAGTTTGACCTCGGCTGCCAACCCCGTATGGCCTAGACAGGGCCCATATCTGAAATGTGGGGCAGGAAAGCTCTTCGGGGTTGGCCATGAAACGGCACAACCCAGTGCAGCAGTCAGGAGACACGTGTGGCTACGTAAATGTAAGTTCAAAATAATTCAGCTTCTCAGTCACACGGGCCCCACTGCAAGTGCTGGACAGCCACAGGTGACCAGTGGCTACCATGCTGGATGGGCAGATGACAGCACACCATCATGGCGGGAAGTTCCACTGGATGGTGCTGACCCTGGAGGTTGGGGAGCACGGAGCAGGAAGGGGCTCTGCGGGTGGAGAACCTCTGACGCCCGCTGTGTCTCGGGGCCCTCCCACAAAATGCACACGGGGGCCCACATCGTGTCACACCTCCCTGCCGAGGTGGGCAGGAAGGCACTGAGAGAGGTGACCAGTCCCACACCCACCTGAGCCGGTCCTCATCCAGGAAGTCGACGATGTCACTGCGGTCATTGACCGTGTTCACGTACCGGTCCAGCAGCTCCTGCTCCCGCTGCCGGTCCTGGGGTGACTTCAGACTCTCTATGGGGACAGCCAGTCATCAGAAGGAGCCATGTCCCCACTGCTCGTGTCAGGCTCCTCCATTTGAGGAGGAGGGTGGAGGCTGCCAGCCTGCGTGGGCTCTTGGTGATGTGGTTGAATGAACATCAAAGACCAAGTGTGGGGGTCTCCCCTGGTTATCTCACCCACCCTCACAAGACGGCTGCCCACTGTGGAGAGGTGGAAACTGAGGCTCAGGGTGCCACTGTCTCATCTCACAGCAAGGAAAGGACGGAGCCGAGACTGCCAGGACCTGAGCCCTCAGCCCAGGGGCACTCACATCACCAAAACAAAACACCAACAGCACACACTCAAGGAGCGCTTACAACCTGCCGGTGCTGTGCTGAGCGCCTGACTCGCACTGACTCACTGAATCCTCGCAACTGTGTGAGATGGACGCTATGATGGTCCGCACTTTAGAGGGGATGAAACCCTGGCACAGAGAGGTCAAGTGACCTGGCTCAGAACACACAGCTGGGAAGTGGACGAGCTGAAACCCAAACCCGGGCCTGCATGGCTCCCGAGCGTACCACACCACGACACCATGGGTGCCTCGCACGGATGACTGCCCCCAGGCAGCCAGCAGCAACGCTGGAAGCCTGCATCCACCCGTGCCATGCCCTGGGGCTGAGGCTGTGCAGGCGGAGGCGCCCTGGCAGGCAGGGGCGGACGCACCGGGCTTGGCCATCAGCCGGCGCAGCTCGCCCTCGATGTCCAGCTGCTGCTCCTCCAGGTGCTGGTCCTTGGACCTGCGCGGCAGACGCGGGTCTGAGGCCTGGCCTGATGGCCGGCCGCTCCCAGCCCAGAGCCCGCCCTCCTGGGAGGAGATGGTTTTCCAGGATGGGGGCCCCTGTGGGCATCCGTGTGGCAACTGGATCTCTCACTTGTACATCAGCTCTGACTCCAGCCTCAGCAGCAGCTGCTTCTCGTGGATAAGCCGGAACCAGTCCACCATAAGGCTGTCCTCCGAGTCATCTAAGGAGAGGAGCCAGGCCGGGTGCGACAGTGTCAGGCCCGGGTCAGGGCCCCAGGGTCAAAGGTGTCCCCAGTGGTCAAGCAGGCTGATGGCCAGGCCAAGGCACTCAGGAGTGGAGCTGGCCTGGCCCAGGTCAGATCAGCTCACCTCCCTCAGCCGCCCGCAGTCGCTTCTCCAGCTCAATGCCCCTGAGCTCCAGGGTGTCCAACTCCCTCTCGATGTTCTGCACCTGCCTCTGGATCTCCTCCTGGGGGATGTAGTCTGGGTGCAGCTGGGGGACAAGGAGGTGGTGAGGCAGGTCGCAAGGGCTGAGTTCCTGCCCCCTCCAATCCCAGCCTACTCACCCTGACGGGGGAGGTCACAGTCTTGCCAGGCGGAGCAGGGACACTGGCTGGGCCCAGGGGCCTCCCTGGACAAGGGGCAGAATGAGCCTCCTGGACCTCAGGGCACCAGGCCTGAACACGGCCCAGAAGGGAGTCTGACCCTGGGACAGCTGGACCCACCCTAGCCTCTGCCTCCCCGGATGTTCCCTATGTCACCACCTGGCTGCCCTGCCCCAACCCCACAGGCACCTGGACAGCACCTGCCACTGTCCAAAGGGCTAGAGCTCACACAGTCAGATCCAGGCCCTGCCCCCTGCCCTCCTCCAGGTCAGCAGCACCAGATACACCCCTCCTGGCACCCCTACCACCTGTCCCTCGAGCTGCCAGGAGCGCACGCTCCATCATTACCAGGCGCCTGTGACAAGGTGCCAGGAGGCAGCTGGTGTCTTGGTCCAGTCCTCCCACCCTATTCATGAGGAAGGGCCTGGGTCAGTGGGGGCTCGGTCCTCCAGGGCTTCCTTCCATTTGGGACCCAGTGAGCTCCTGTACATTATCCAAAGCCCCAGCATCTCCTCTTCAGAGGAGGCCTCCCTTCGTCTACACCCCAGACAGGAACAGCGTCTCTGGGGCTGACCTGGTTTGCCCTGAGGACAGGTTTTCTCCTCTTCCTTCTTCCAGCTCCAGGCCTGGGCTTCCTGCCTCGAGGGCACGGGCTGAAGCCAATCGCTAGAAACATCGAGACTGGCAGGGATAGCCAATTTCCTGCGGTGGGACGGGGAGGGGGACACGGCTGTCCCCAGGTAAGGAGAAGCCTTACGTCAGGCCCACAACCCAGTGCCCTCCCCTGAGCCAGGGGCCCGCTGGGAGTCTGGGGTCTGTCCCAGCACAGCCAACAGCCTACTGGGTGGCCCAGGCCACCACTACGCCCTGGGCCTCCCTAGTGGAGGGTCAGTCCTCACAAGCCCTACACCCACATTTGGCCCATACTGGTCACGTCCACAGAGGCGGGGAACAAACGCAGAGGCCACCAACTCCTCTGGCTGAGCGGGGCCTCTGTTTCTTCCCCCCATACCCTAAAAGGGGGGCACTACAGGTCCAAGCCCTGAGACCCCTACCCCCATAGGGGAGGGCCAGGTGGGCAGCCCTCAGGTTCCTGTCCAGCATTACCTGAGAGGGTGGGCCCAGGCCCAGCTGGCCCTGGCATCCTGTCAGGCCACACAGGGGTCAGGGTGATGCGGACACCTCCCTCGCAGCTTCCTGAGACCTTCTTGGGAGTGTCCCCTGCCTTTGGCTCAGCTGGGACCTGCGGGTCCTTCACCTCCAGAGCCCTGGGTGGAACATGTGAGGTCAGCCCCCTGCACCCACCAGCCCCAGGCCCACCTCGAGGGGACTCCCAAAGGCATGTGCAGACAAGCCCGTGACCTGAAGACATGGTAGGACCTGGTCTTGCCTGAGTGGTCACCCCCCTCCCAGCTCCTGAATCCTCTGCTACGTACAACTGAAACGTACGAGTGATGTGCACACATCCCTGCTGTGGTGTGTCAATGGGTTGATGCTGTCATGCACCCACAGCATTTATTAAGCACCTCCTGTGTGCCAGGCCCTGTGTCAGCCCTGGGACACAGGCTCCTGCTCGAGCTCATGTGAGCACAAACCCACAGGCCCAGGTATAGGTACTACCAGGAGGACCCCACCAGAGCCCTGTCCCACCTGCCCCTCACCTCTCAGCCAGATTTTTCTTATCCACCGGCTTCAGGCGGGCCCTCCATCCTGCCGGCCCATCCTCCTGGCCTTCCTGGGGGCTGGCACTTGGGCCTGGGTGGGGGCAAGGAGATGGTTCACAAGGAGGGTGCACCAGGTAAGGGGGAATGCCTGCTTGGAAAGGCTGGGCCTCACCTGGTCCCACCTTCCTGCAGCCACCCCACCCTCAGATACCCCCCAGCCAGCCTGGCATGCAGGAAAGAGCGCTGGGCTGGGAGTCAGGAGACAGGCCTTCCTGACTGGTTGCCTGTGCTGTGTGTCCTCGGGGGAATCATTTCCTCTCTCTGGGCCTCAACTTCCCCTTCTAGCAAAAAGGGGGGGGTGAGCCCCATGGACCCTGATGTGCCTGGGCTGTGGCTGCCCATCTGCAGGCCCTCTTGTCTCAGACCTGCGGGTGGTTTTGACGGTGGGGGCTCAGCCAGAGGGAAAGATGCAGACAAACGCTCTGGGCAGCGTGTTCTCTGAGAAGTGTAGAACGGGGCGGTGGTCAAATGGGGCCCATCAAACAGTGTGACCCTGGAGACATTCACTGCCCTCACACAGGTGGAGAGAGTGAGGACCTAGGTGACCCTGCTATGAAGCAGGTATCACAGAGAACAGACACCGAGAGCGGGCCCTGAAACACCGACTGTGAAGCAGCAAACACTGCAGGACGCAGGCCGGGGAGAAGGGCAGCCACAACACGGGGCGAGACCCTGGGCGGAGGCGACCCCGGGCAACCTACTGCACCCCACACCCCCTCACCCACTCCACATAAGGGGGCTCTTACTCTTTGTCGTTGGGGCCTCTGGCTTCATCCTGGAGCCAGCACCCACCCTGCTGACCCCCGAGGATCCAGCCGAGCTCCTCCTGCCCACCTGGGGCGATGCGGATGCCTGAGAGGTGCCGCCCACACTCAGGGAGGCCTGCGGCTCCATCCTCACAGGGTTACTAAGGGCCCTGGGAGACGCAGATTGTGACGGCTTGACTGAGGGACTTGCTTGTGGCCCTTCGGTTTGGGGACGGGAATTCGGGGTACGGGAGGGCCTGTGGGTAGGAGAATAAGCATCAGGTAGATCCAGGAGCCTCTCCCACCATTAACCCCATACTGAAGCCCCTCAGTGCCCCTGGCAGCTAGTTCCCAACGCCCACCCTCTGGACAGGACAGACCACCACAGAGAGAGATGGGTCACAGGCTTCTACTTCTGGCACTTGCATATGTTGGTGGCTGATTTTACCCTCCTGTTAAGTCAGATATCGGCTGAGATTACAATGTTCCAGAACATACCATACACAGGGACCAGGGCCAGAAGCACCTGGAACTTCACCGTGGAGACCCCTGTCCAGAACCATGAGCTGGCCTGGGCCTGCCTAGGCCGATCTAAGCGACTCTCGGGCTGTGCAGCCCAGCCAGACACAAGGCCTCCTCATGGCCGCGCGGCTTTGGGCCATCCTGCATTCCCCTGGGTGCACATGCGTGCAGGACTAAGGCTGCCGAGCCCAGTGTGGGGACGCCAGGCACCTCCCCTGGCCAGGTGCTCTGTCCTGCTGGGGCCAAGGCAGTTCTGTCTCGCCTGTCCCCTTTCTGCAACCAATTTCTCTCCCCCTTCTCCCCTTTACTCTGGGCTCAGCGATGATCAGTCTGGATTCCCAGGAGGAGCTCCCCCACTCTAGGGAGCACTCACACAGAGAGCCCACACACAGCCTCGTCCCCCAGGATGCCCTGGACAGCCCCCAGTCCCAGGAGGGGCAGGGTGGATTTGCTCTTCTATCCCCGTGCCCAGCCTAGAAACCTCTGGGCACCACCAGCTGACCTGTTGGGGGCTGGGAGGGTCAGGCAGCTCAGGGCTAGGAATGCCCCTACCCTGCAATGAGGGTCAGCATGACGAGTGGACGCAGCATGGCTGGCCAGCCTAGGAAGGAACCTGCTTACTTGAGAGGTGGCTGCACTGGGCTGAATGGCATCCCCCAAATTCATGTCTACCAGGAAGCTCAGAGTGTGACCGTATGTGTAAATAGAGTCTCTGCAGATGTAATCGTGTTAAGATGCAGTCACACCAGATTAGGGTGGACCCTGATCCAACGGCAGCTGTCCTTATAAGAGATAGAAAAGAAGAGACAGACACAGAGGAGGCCAGGTGACCACGGAAGCAGAGATCTGAGTGATGCCACCACAGCCAAGGAACACCTGGGGCCATCAGGAGCCAGAAGAGACGAGGAAGGATGCTCCCCTAGAGCCCTCGAGGGAGCACAGCCCTGCAGACACCGTGATGTCGACTTCTGGCCTACAGAACTGTGAGAGAATAAAGACCTGCTGTCTGAGCTGCCCAGTGAGTGGTGCTCGGGAAACTAACACAGCAACCCTCATCCTGTCAACACCAGCTGCCTGGCGTCTGGGGTGCGGAAGGCACGGGGCAGGCGCTGGGATGGGCAGGGAAGGTCCAGACGCAGCTGGAGTCAGACAAGCCGGCACCCAGACCCAGCCGGCATAGAGTTCCTGTGCACCCTGTTCCCTGCTCCACAGAGGGCATCGGGAGCTCACACTCGCTGAGCACGTGTCCCACAGCGGCCCCGGCAGCAGTGTCGCTGCACCTAGTACCCCCTGAGCACCTGCAGACAGCAGATTTTAGGCCTCCTGCCACTCTGACCACCAAACATGGCTGCTCCTGCCTCATTTTACCCATTTCCCAGAAGAGGAAACTGAGCTGGGAGAAGTACAGCCCTCACGGTCACACAAACAGGGAGGGACAGAGCCTGGTCCCCCTCCCCACAGCTTTCCTCCAAACCCTGTGGCTTTCTAGGGGCCCTGCTGGCTGGTGGGTGTGGAAGAGCTGCACCCCAGCCCCTCCCTCCTCTACCCACCTGCCAGGAGCCTGAGCGCCAGCCTCCCCCAGCCGTGGAAGGGCCTTCCTGAGGAAGCTTAGTGCCTGCTCCCTGCTGCTGTCTCTGGAGGGAGCGTCCACTGGAGCTGGGACCCTGCCAGCTGGGCCATTGCTGGGGGGGACTCCAGATGTCTGGAAGAACTTCTCCCGGGCCTGCTGGGTCCTGGAGGCTGATGGGGTCCAGGCTGGGGAGTCCACTGGGCCTGGAGATGCTGAGCTGGAACTGAGCTTGGGCTGAGCAGCTGCCATTTGGGGGGACCCCCGGCCTTGTGGCGTTGCTGGGCGAGGGTTCAGGGCACTTGGGGGCATGGCAGGATGGGAGCCGACTGCTGCTGTGCCCTGGGCTGGTGATGACCACCCTGTTGGGGAGCTGTTGGTCACACGCATGCCAGCTTTGCCATCCATGGGGGTGGAAGCCACGCGACTTGAGGAGAGCCTGGGCCAGGCTGGGCTCCCCACCTGGATGCGGGAGGACGTGGTGGCTGGAGGGTCAGGTGCAGCTGGAACAAAACCTTTGGCAGTTGCGTTGCCCACTGAAGGCTCCCAGGCTGGTGGCCTGGACTTCAGCCCAGCTTCTCTGGACCCATTCACCTCCTGGGCCTTCCGCGGGGCTTTGGGGGAACGAGAGTCCATGGGGATGGCCCCTGGATGTCTAGGGGCCAGGCCAGGCAACTTGGGGCTTACAGGGGCAGCTCTGGGCTGGTGGCTGGTGCAGACAAAGACTCCTGGCTCTCCTGTGGCCCTGTAGGCCCCTGAGTGCAGCGTGTTGGAGCACTGCTTACACCTGGGGAGAGAGGAAACGTCACGAGGGGGCTCCAGGCTTGCAGCCGTTTGTTCATAGCTCTGGGCTGGTGGCTGGTGCAGACAAAGACTCCTGGCTCTCCTGTGGCCCTGTAGGCCCCCGAGTGCAGCGTGTTGGAGCACTGCTTACACCTGGGGAGAGAGGAAACGTCACGAGGGGGCTCCAGGCTTGCAGCCGTTTGTTCATACACTCGTTCACCCAGGTGTTCATCCATTCACACTTTCCCACAAGCACAGATGTGTTCCCATATCTGTTTGTGTGGTCATTGATTCATTCAACAAATGCCTCTTCTCATGGTTCTGAACCATTTTGAGTCACAGACTCCACTGAGAACCTCGTTAGGCATGCGGACACCCCAGAAAGTGCTCGTACATGTCAGTGCGTGCACACACGCACGGGCCATGCTGCACTCCACTTCCAGGGGCTGACCCACTCCCAGCCTTGCGGAGTGGTCATGTAACAAGCAAGACCCTGTGCCTGCCCTCCAGGAGCCGCCAGCCGGGGAGGAGCAGGGCAGCAGGGGAGGGGCTGCAGATGGTCGCAGAGTAAAAAGCCCTACACAAAGGGCTGAGAGGCAGAGGAGGGAAACTGAGTCAGTGTGTCTGGAAGGACAGCCAGGAAGGTATCTCTAAGGGGACATGGGAGGAGGATATTAGGGCTCAGCAGGAGGGTGTCAGGGCCTAGGGTATCTAGGAACAGCTGAGCATCTTGGGCTATTGGCAACAAATGAGGCCAAGGAGGAGGACATAGCCACACAGGAGGGCGATGGGAGCCACACAGGAGGGCGATGGGAGTCACAAGAGGTATCTGAGGAGAGGTGCTCACTCAGATGTGCAGGGGGAGGAAGATGCCCACTCAGGTGTGCAGGGGGAGGGGAGGCCCACCTGAAGCAACTCCGATGGTAGAGCCTCCCGTCGGCCAGGTGCCTCTGCACCAGGTGCACATGCTTGCCACAGATCCCACAGGTGCTGCTGACTGAGCTGCCCACTGACGCCAGGCCCTTGGGAGGGGGCACCAGGAGCCAGCTGACATCTCTGTATTATGGTCTACCCCAGCTCTCCCTCCCAACTGCTGCCCCACAGGCTGGCAGGAAGGTCCCATTTTACAGAGTGGAGAACTGAGGGTATGGTCAGGACTCACGCCCAGGCCGCTGGACTCCAAGATCAGGGCCTCCAGCCTGGCCCTGGGGAGGGAGTTGGGGCCTGACTTTAGTGGTCCTGAGGTAGGATTGTGGGGCCAGAGGACAGATTCCAGTGCCCCCTGTTCCCGCCCCAAGGCGCAGAGATCAAATCCAATTCCCAATTGCCAGCCCTATCTTGCTCCAGCTCTCAGAGCCTGAAGTGACAGCCCAGGGACAGCAGGGGGCGCCCAACCACACATTATTACCCCTCCTCAGTCTCCACCTCTGAAAAGTGGGGGTACCCTAATTCACCTTGCAGAGCTGGCCTGGGAATAGAGGGCACAACCAGTACCCCTCCCTGCCCCAGAGAGAGGTGGCCCGGACCACAGGAACCTGCTGTGAGCCCAGAAAGGTCAGGGGTCAAGCTCTGACCACCTGCCTGCCTTCCCTGAGTCCTGGTCTGTCCATCTGTACAATGGGGGTCACAGTTCCTACCATGCGGAATCGAAGGAGCCCAGGGCAGCCAGTACTGGGTGGGCTCTTGATTAAACAGCCGCTGAGGCCATGCCCTGGACCCAGGGGAACTGCCCCACCTCGGGCCCTGTGGTTTGGGGCTGCACAGTCCCACAAGCCCCACTCTGTAAGAGCTGCTGGAAAACCCAAGAAACCAGAAGAAGGGCAGGGCAGGGCGCTTACAGCCTTCGGGGGCAGGCCCTCTGCACCCCCATCCTTCCGCTGGACAACAGGGTTTGTCCTGGCTGGGGACAGTGGAGGCCCCCGGGCTGGGGCGGGTGAGGGCAGTTTGGCCGGCTGGGATGGGGCTTTCTTCCCAGATGGTTCCTCCTCGGAGTCTGACGGAGGCCTCTTCATGCCGGCCATGCCCCCAACTGGCACAAGACAAGCAGGGGTCAGGACAGGAGGGTCCCAACGCAGCCCTGCACCCTGGCTCTGAAAGAATCTGGGTGCCCCCAAAGGTCGTGGTGCCCAGGAGGGGTTGGCATGGACTGCCCGAGGGCTCCCACTGTCTGGGGGGCTGGGGATGGGAAGGGGCAGCCCCGAGGGCACATTCTTCCCGGCACAGCCCTGGCCTGGCCCACACCCCTCCCCTCCCTGCTCTGAGAGCAGGGATCTGTGGTCAGGAAAAAGGGACTTTTCTGTTTCTCCACCAGGCAGGGGCTGGCCCTGTGCCCGGAGTGATTCCGGGGATTTCTAAAGCCTAGAAGAGGAATGTGGGGGGTGAGAGGAGGAGCTGAGCAGCTCAATACACAAAAAGCTGGGATAAAGGCCCCGGCCTCTCCCCTACCACACCCAACCCTGCCTGGAGGCCCCACCCTGCCAGGGCCAGCTGAAGCAAGAACATGGGCACAGAAGCTCGGGGTCCCAATGGGAAACCAAGGCCCAGAGAGAAGGAGGAGGGTATGATCATGGGCGCATCCATCCAGTCGAGAGGAAGGAGGACAAGCTGAGCCTGGGCCAAGCAGGGACAGGTTAGGGGCTTGGGGGAGCCCGGAGCCCTTTCAGAGGAAGACAGAGCACCAGGCGCCCCGCACCTGCAGCACCAGAGAGTCCTCCTTCCCTGCTTCACTTGCCAACCATGCACCCCCACTGCCCACCCCAAAGGGCTATGCTGGTGCCAGGCTGGCGGGGGCTGGGCATGGACTCTGAAAGGTCTGTGAGGCCAGGGGGGACCTGCCACGGGGCTGCAGCATGGATAGGGCTGGTGGCCCCTTGGTGGCCAGCAAGTGAGCCCAGGCGAGAATCAGCCCTGGTCCTGCCTTGCACAGCCAGGGTCCAGGCTGGGGGCCCCGGGGCAGGACTCACTGGGGGAGCGGCCGTGGAAGTAGTTGTAGTACTGGGACACGTAGGTCAGGATGCTCAGCCGGTCGGGCACCTTCAGAGCCACCATGTCCTCGGCGTCCAGCAAGGCTGGGATACCCAGCTGCTCCTCGGCCACGCGGAAGGCCTGGAGGAGGTGGGTGGAGGTCAGCAGGAGCCGGATGGGAGAGCCTTCCCCCTCGACCAGGTCACCAGCTCACCCCAGGAAAGAGGGGTGCAGGCAAGAAATAGGCTTTGAGCCCAGAAAAGTCTGGGTTCAAGGTTTAAGCGCTGCTCTCTGCCTGTGTGCCTCTTTGGGCCTCAGTTTACCCATCTGAGGGACAATGAGCAGAAGTAACTCCATCTTGAAAGCCCTTACCACTTGCTACGTCCTTTGTGTGAACCCTGCCTGCAGAAGTCAGACAGTAAGTTGGGTAAGGTCGTCAGAAGAAAAGGTAGAAACAGCTGCTGACTATAAAGAAAGGACCTAATGATTAAGTACCGGTGCGGTAGTGGCCGGTCCCACCACCCGCATCACAACACCACCAAAACTAATACTCATGTTAGAAGTAGTGACATTAGCTTCTTAGTAACGGCATCCTAGGTTTCTTCACGGCTTTGTGTGAACTACATAAACTTGGACTCGACCAGGAGGTGGTGGAGGAACTGCGAACACTCCTGGCTTTCAATCCACCATCCTGTAAGTAAAATCACCCTCTCAATTAAGATTCTTTCCCCACTCTGCATGGGAGCGTCTGCTTTGTTTTTCAGTTTCAAGACGCCTTCTCGGTTTGGTGGGCATCCTGTCTTTGCTGCACCTTCAGACACCGTCTGTACAGCGGGGATCACTGTCCCGGCCACACAGGACTGAAGGTGGCTCCTCAAGGGAGCCAGTCCCCCGTGGGCTCTCGAGACCCTGTGTGGGCCCCCAGGGGGACCCCACCCCACCTGGGCCACATCACCCTGGAGACGCCCAAGAGCTCCCCTCACACCCCTGCGCCCCACACAGCCCCGGCGGCCCCAAACCTTATCTGGTCAGAGAGCACAGGTGGGATCCACACCCGCCCAGACCGCTAAGCCCTCCCTGGGGCCTGGGGGGACACAAAGGTGGCCTGTGTCCTCAGAGCCAAAGCAATGGGGCATGAGGTACTGGAGGCTGAGACGGGTACACAATACACTGAGCTGGGAGGGCCAGGAAAGCTGCACTTATAGAGCACTTACTGCATACTGAACATGACAGATCTCAGCCTCAGCGCCCCCCTCCCACTCCACCGTCCACTCCCTCCCTCTAGCACAGAACCCTACTGGTCCTTTGACCCCACGGGGGCTCCGACCGCTGGCCTATCACCTGTCCCTGTCCCTCACCTGTCACCCCCCTTCCTCCTGGGCCTATCCACGGTCACTCCATGCACACCCCCACACCCCCGCCCCTGACTCTGTTGTACTCACTTGGAGATACCCCAGCTGGGGTTGCAGAAGGTTCCCACCTACTCAGGCCTGTGCCAAGCCACCAAAACGTGGCTACAGAAAAGTGCTCTGCCAGCCACCTGCCCTCATCTAGTCCAAGACCCTTGGGGGGCCCCCAAGTGCCACCAGGGGCAATCCCACCCCACTTCCCCTCCCCACCCCAGACCAAGTTCCCACCTTCTCTCTGCTCAAACCCCCAGCACCTCCTCCCTGCCTCACTCTCAGCTGGCATCTTGCCCCATCCATCCCACTCAGAAGTCAGAAGCCTCTGAGGAGACCCTTGGGGGATGCCCACCCCCACATCCCCCATGTCCCTGCATCCACCTCCCTCCCACATTGGGCACTAAGGCCCTTCATCTCCTGTCACCCAGCATGTGCACCCTCTCTCTCCTGCCTGGAGGGCCCCCCTGTCGGACCACTCCCAGCAGCCCTACAGACCCACTGAAACTCTCCCTGAAAAAGAAATTGCCTATTGACTCCACTTCTATATCCCATTTTTCTAGTTCCTTTTAAAGCAAAACTCCTCAAAAAATGTCATGTATTTTCTCTGCTTCCAACCCCTCTCCCCTAACTTTCCCTGCAACCCCTCCAGCACACTCCCCACCCCCCACCCAAGGGACCAGTCTGCTTCGCCAGCCCCCAATTCCCCCAGACTCCGGACATGGGGGTCCCGAGCTCGGTCCTTTTTCATGGCTCTCCTGCCTTTGGGAGCCCATCCTGTCTCCTGCCTATAAATATCCCATCCAGCTAGCGAGTTAGTTCACTTTGGTTACAGTGTAAAGTGTGGCGCTGAAAACACCAAGGTCCGGGGTTCAATCCCTGTATCAGCCAGCAAAATAAATAAAGAAATAAATAAATATCCCATCCACAGCCTGATGACTCCCAAATCTCTACCTCCAGCCTTTCCCTAAACCTCAGGCTTGCACCTCCAACTGCCTACATGACCCCCACGTGAATGTCCAGCTCAGTCCAAACAGGGGCTCCTGGGCAACCCCCCAGCCCAATGGGACTGCCATGCCATGCTCAGACCAAAGGCCTTGTGTCTCCTCTGACTTCTCTTTAAAACACGTCCAGAATCCGACCCCTTCCACAGCCACCACTGGGGCTGGGCCGCCGTCCCTTCTGCCTCCTGCCTATTCTCAGCACAGGTGCTGTGGAGCACGAGGGGCTCGCAGCTCAGCCTTGCCAGCGGTCCAGTCTCACTTGCAGCGGAAGCCATTGTTCTTTCCGCACCCTCACCCTGCTCTCCCGACTCCCTCCCCAAGTCCTCCTTCTGACCCCCCAGCTCTGTCCCAGCCCCCTCACTGCTTTTCTACAAGCCAGGTGCCTTCCCGCCACCTGGGACGCCCTTTCTGCAGATGTCCACAGGGCTCCCTTGCCTCCCGCAGGTCTGTGCTCAGCGAAGCCTTCCCTGAGCCCCCTTGAGAACTGCACACGATGGCCTCCCCAGTCCTCCACCCTCTTCTCTCCTTCATTTTCCTGCCTGACATGCTAGATGGTTTTCGGTGCAGTCCAACAGAACTTTCTGAGACGGTGGACACTTCTATTCTGCACTGCCCAACACAGCAGCCACCGGCCACGTGTGGCTGTGAGTGTTTGAAATGTGGCCAGCACACCTGAGGAATGAAATCTTTCATTTTATTTCATTTTAATTAAGTTAAATCTAAATTCAAATCGCCCATGCGCTGAGTGGCGAGTGGCAACTGTTCTGGCTGGGCAGGTTTGACCAGTGACCGTGCCATGTGCACTGTCCGGCACCCGCACTGGAATATCGCTCTAGGGGGCGGGGCCATGTACCCGGAACCTGCCTGGCACAGAGCAGGAAACGGCTGCAGAACCAGCGGATGAATTCCGCCTTCTTATGCATCAGCCAGTGGAGGAGAGTGGAGCTTATTTTGCAGCAGGGAAACAGGCTGGGCTCAGGGAAGTGTCTCACGGCTGGGAAGGACAGGGCAGGATTTGAATCCAGACAGGGACAGGGCTGAGGAGGCTGGTCCAATGGGGTGGGGTATGGCAGCTCGCCCACCAGGACCACCCAGGAGCCCTGCCTTCCCAGCCGCCCCTGGACCACTGCTTTGCCTTGCGTGGACAGGGCTGGGCCACCCACAGGGAAGGAGGATCCCCAGCTACTTCCTGCCCCCTTGCTCTCCCCACCAAGGAAAAGAGGGGACCAGTATGGCCTGGGCTCCAAGATCAGAAGCTCGTTCTAGAATGCTGGGGTCGCCCCACTTAGGACTGGCTGCAGAGTCGGGCAGCAGGACCCTGGCCTCAGTGGCAGGACTCCTGAGGCAGACCCGACAGGAAGGTTTGATCTACTCAGGGGCCCAGTGATCCCTCAGACATGGATTGGGGGTGCGGGCAGACCAGCTGAGCCAGCTTTGAGGCCGGGGCTGGGAAGGCAGGACGGAAGGTCGGGGGGGGGGACTCACCAGTTTGTTGTTTTCATAAACGTTTTCCTTCCTGAGAGCATTGAAGTTTCTGGAAGATAAAAACACCTGTGTCCAAAACAGCTCAGAGTCCGAGAATGGAGGGGCTGGAAAGGCCTCGTAGGTCATCTTGCCCAAATGGGGAAAACAAGGCCAGAAGTGGGCGCCGTGAATGAATGAGGTCACGAGCAAACACAAGGAAGGCAGGCTAGGCACAGTGATGCTGCCCGCACCCATAAGGCTGCTGCCACCTCCGGTTACCTGGGCACCCAGGTGGCCCACGACCACGATCAGTCCTTACAGCCTCAGCCTTCACCTCCAGTGCCCTGGAGAAGTTGAGCCCTTACCCACCTCTCCTGACCCAATCGGAGGTTGCACAAAACAGGCCCAGAGAGGCGAAGCCACCAGCCCAAGGCAGACCAGCCAGGGCTTAGCTCAGAGTCAGTCACAGAGGCCCGATGTTCACAGGGGAGGACAACATGGGATGGAGGTGAGAGCTCCCTGGGCAGGGGACAGAGCCAGCGTGCACTGAGGAATGGAGGTGTATGAGGCCGGCCACCCACGCTGCCCACCGAGGGCAGGACGGGCCCCTCCAGCCACCCCGTCTGTCTCATCATTCGCGTTTACTTTCACAGCACCTGCCGTGAGGGGTGCTGTTCTCAGCTCTTCATAAATATCAGCTCCCTTAAGGCTCAAGCCCATCCCATGGAGCGGACACTACTCATGTCTGCATCTCACAGATGAGGGAACAGAGGCACAGAGAGGCTCAGGGACTTTCCCGAGGTCACACAGCAGCAAGACAGAAGTCAAAGGTCGGGGGGGGGGGACTCACCAGTTTGTTGTTTTCATAAACGTTTTCCTTCCTGAGAGCATTGAAGTTTCTGGAAGATAAAAACACCTGTGTCCAAAACAGCTCAGAGTCCGAGAATGGAGGGGCTGGAAAGGCCTCGTAGGTCATCTTGCCCAAATGGGGAAAACAAGGCCAGAAGTGGGCGCCGTGAATGAATGAGGTCACGAGCAAACACAAGGAAGGCAGGCTAGGCACAGTGATGCTGCCCGCACCCATAAGGCTGCTGCCACCTCCGGTTACCTGGGCACCCAGGTGGCCCACGACCACGATCAGTCCTTACAGCCTCAGCCTTCACCTCCAGTGCCCTGGAGAAGTTGAGCCCTTACCCACCTCTCCTGACCCAATCGGAGGTTGCACAAAACAGGCCCAGAGAGGCGAAGCCACCAGCCCAAGGCAGACCAGCCAGGGCTTAGCTCAGAGTCAGTCACAGAGGCCCGATGTTCACAGGGGAGGACAACATGGGATGGAGGTGAGAGCTCCCTGGGCAGGGGACAGAGCCAGCGTGCACTGAGGAATGGAGGTGTATGAGGCCGGCCACCCACGCTGCCCACCGAGGGCAGGACGGGCCCCTCCAGCCACCCCGTCTGTCCCATCATTCGCGTTTACTTTCACAGCACCTGCCGTGAGGGGTGCTGTTCTCAGCTCTTCATAAGTATCAGCTCCCTTAAGGCTCAAGCCCATCCCATGGAGCGGACACTACTCATGTCTGCATCTCACAGATGAGGGAACAGAGGCACAGAGAGGCTCAGGGACTTTCCCGAGGTCACACAGCAGCAAGACAGAAGTCAAAGCCAGGCCATGGCTCCACAGTCCAGGCATTTGAGATTCGATTACTCTTTCTCTTGTTCATAGTATGGCGTTACTAAGCACCCGCCAGATGCCCAGCCTCATCCCCTGGGGGGACAGACCCTCAGGGCTGAGGATATTAGAGTCCTACCCCCACCCCCTAACAAACACACACACGCACTAGACACAGAGGCGAGGTCCCAGGCCAGCCTGGATAGCAGCACCTTCCTGGAGAGGCCAAGAGTGAGCACAGCCCTGCATGAGCTCCAGGCTGGTCCCAGGACTCCAAGCACATGCCCCCAAACACGGTCCACCACAGCACACTGCACACCCGAAGGACGCTCTGAGCAGAACTCATGGATCACACTCAGGTGGCCCCAGTCCAGCCCCAGACACGGACAAAACCTGCCAGGCTCTGAGCACAGGCCGCCACTTATGGGAGTGTTGGTTAAATAGTGATCTGTCCGTCTGTCCACATTGCTGTCTGTGGGGATGTGAACAGCAGCCGTTGCCACGTCAGCATGAACGGGATTGTTCTGGAAACCTCGTGGCGCAGGAGAGGAGCTCAGGCTAAGGGCTGTGTCCTGCCTCATCCACGCCTTGATGTCTGACCTTGGGCAAAGCCCTCTCTTCTCTCGGGGCCTCAGTTTCCTCATCTGGGAGGACGACTGCAGTTTCTGGTGGTGAATTTGACAGCTGTGGCTGCAGCAAGCAGGAAGACTTGTCAGGTCTCAAACAGAGGAGAAGCTGAGACCCCTGTGGCTGCCTGGCCTGGGACCACCTCGCTCATGCCAAGTCTGCCCAGCAGAGGTCAGTTCTTGACAAGCCCTGACCATATAGGATCCCACCTCCCTGCCCTCAGAGGTCCGGACTGTGAGACCATTTTACAGAGGAGCAAACTGAGGCCCGGGGGCAGTGAGCTGCCCAAAGCCGCACAGTTGGGTCGGGGCAGTGGGATGGGGGCTGCAGTTTGCCCGCCTCGCTCCTTAGGAAGCCTCCCTGCCTGCCGCCCATCAATCTGCCCAGCTCTTCGGGAAACCTCCAACATTTCCGGCTTGGACCACCTCCCAGGTAACGTGTTCCAGATGCTAAGACCACCCATTAGCAGGACAGAGCTTCTGTGCACATGACAAGAAGGTGGACAGAGGACAAGACGGCGCCCTCTCCCCTGTGCTCAGTGAGCAGCGATAAGTGGGTTTCAGCACCATTGTGCCTGGATGATGCCTTCATTCAGCTGCATGCACACCATCCATCCTGGGTTTGTCCCCAGATGCGGTGTGATCCCAGGAGTGTCCAAGGACACGCAGGTGGACAGCCTCCATCCAACACCCCTGGGACTCTCCAGTCATGCTGGCTCCTCCGTCCTCAGCCTCTGGGGCTCAGGAGCACACTCTCCCCCATCCCCACCTCCATCCCTTTCAACACTCAAGCTCTTCTCCAGACCTTCCCAGGGTCACTGACCCAAACGGCCATATGCCTGGCAAGGATGCCACGGCCAGCAGGAGGGCAGGATAACAAGTTCTGTTTTGTCTCCAAACAAAGCAGGAGAAGGAGGCGTCTGCCTCCTGCATTTGCCTCCATCTGCCCCAGGGGGCTGCAGCGGCTCCCCCCTAAGGATTTGGGAGCAGCCAGTTGTCCCTGTGAGGCTATCTCATCCCCCACACCCAGAGTGAGTGTCTCAGAGGCCCAGGCAGGTCAGAGCACCCAGAGCCTTCAGGGCTCCCCACGACAGCGGTGCCCGTGCCTGCTGCGCAGGTTGGAAACTGCAAGTTCAAGGACTGTCGGCTCTTGAGACGACATTCAAGATGCTTCTCTGGGCCTTCCAGGCCTCCACAACTGGGCTGGAACACCCTGGCCAGTCCCACGGCGACCACACCTTTCTGCACCAAGTTCCTTCCCGAGGTGTCCCACCCTCTCGGCCACCGGACCTCAGCTCAAGCTGCTCCCTGTAGCCAGAACACCCTTTCCCAGCTCTGCATGATGCACTGGCCAGGCCCCTCCCCAGAGGTACCCAGCAGGTCCCAGTGGACGCTTCTCTGCTTTGCCTCACCGAGGCCTGAGCTCATGTCCCCTGTGGCCAGAGGTGCAGTCGGCATGGCCACGAGGAGCTGAGCTCTGAGGCCAGTGTGCTGGTGGAAATGACCAATATATGAACTGCTTTGCAAACCCTGTCTGAGAGCGCCAAGGGGGAGACCCCACCCATCCCTCCAGGAAGTCCAAGATGGCCAGCTTTCCACCAGCGGAGGGGACCCCTGGCATTATGGCCTGATTGTGCCCCACTCCAAAAAGAGATGTTGGAGTCCTAAGTACCTCTGAATGTGACCCAGTACCTCTGGATGTGAACTTATTTGGTGATAGGGTCTGTACAGAGGTGATGGAGTTAAAATGAGAAAACTAGGGTTGGCCCTTATCCAATATGACTGGTGTCCTGAAAAAGAGAGGGAATTAGGACACATAGAGGGAAGAGCACATGAAGATACAGAGAGATGACAGCTGTCTACAAGCCAAGGAGGGAGGCTGGGGACAGATTCTCCCTCGCAGCCTCAGAAGGAACCAGCCATGCCCACACCTTGGTCTCCGACTTTCAGACTCTAGACCTGTGAGAGAATCAAATTCTGTTGTTCAAGCTGCCCAATTTAGGGCACTTTGTTACAGCAGCCAGAGTAGGCTACCACCACCCTGGCTCTGGTTGACCCGCGGGGAGACGGCCAGCTTGCCAGACAAGGATGGATCAGCCTTGCCCTTGCTCGGCATGGGGAGTAGCTGCCACTGGGGAGGCAGCCGGAACCCATTGACTGCAAATCCACCCACCGAGTGGGCTGGGACTCACAGCACCCTCCCGAGATAGATCATTTTTATTTGAATTTTCATAATTTAAAATCAGGTATGTCTGGTACGACTCCAAGGCACTTTCCGTGGGGCCAGGCACACAGTTGGCACTCTGTAAATGCTTGTTGATAAATTAATTCATTCAATGCTTGCTGATTTTTTTTAAGGCATTAATTTATTCCCTTTTCAACATTGGCCGAATGGATGAATCCATTGGGTCTATACATCAGCTGTGCAATCGTTCATTGGTCAACTATCTGCCAATGTGTGTCCAGCCCGGTCAGGCGCCTCCCTGCTAGCCATGACTGACCCATGGACTGTAAACTGCAGTTTGTGGAGCTGAGCCGGCCTCCTGCCCCAATGCCTCTGGGGGCTCTTGAGAATGTGCCCCTTCCAAATTCCTGGATGGTTGACCTCATGTGGTTTGTTTCCCAGAACAAAATGCAGCCACGCAGGGGATGGGCCTGGGCTGGGAAGGGAAAGAGCCTCCCTGGGCTTTTTTCCCAGGCACCTCCAGCACATCTGGAGTTAATTCCATCTGGAAGGGGAGGGGAGAGACAGACAGAGAGCTGGAGACAGGGACAAAGACTCACACAGAAAGAGATGGGGGGCACACAAGAGAAACAGTGTGCCCCATGAGGCAGGCGAGGCCCCCCCGCAAAAGTTGAGAGAGGGATTCAGAGTAAGAGCAAAACTGCAGAGGGACCCCAAGACACAATCGGAACAGAGCGAGGGTGAGGACCAAGGCAGGGGGAGAAGGCCCCGGAGCCCCCACCTTCTGTGGGTGTCGGGCCCTGGGCGGCCCTTGTGTGGGTGGGCTGTCAGCCAACCCCCTCCTACCCCCACCCCGTGCCTGTTCTGGATGGCTCTGGCCGGAAGGCACGCAAGGGTCTGGGCAGCAGACCCTCAGGCCGGGGAACAGAAGGTCCTGCTGAGGGCCAGGCTGGCGTGGGAGGGGAGGTCAGCCCAGTCTTGGCCAGCACGCCCTCTGCTCTGGCCCAGGAAGGGAGAGAGCGCTGCCTCGGGAGGTTCTGGGTGGGGATCTCTGCGTGCGAGTCTCGCCCCTGACTCCAGCAATGGGCGCATCTTGGGGAATCCTGCCACCGTCAGGGGGCCACTACCCAAGGGGTCCGTGCTAGGCCATCACAGCTACCCCTAACTCTGGCCCCAGCCCTGACATTGGCCTCCAGCGCTGGGGGGACCTCAACAAAGTTGAGGTCACCCTGCCGCATGACTGAGGGGTGGGGAGTCTGCAGCAGCCCAACTTCATGACACCCTCTCCAGGACCCCTCCACCATCTCACAAATGGTCCCAAGCCTCAATCCTGGAAAAGGAGGCCCATGATTCTTCTCCTACCCAATGGAAGACCTTTTCAGTACAGCCCACCACACCTGCCTGACACCTGTCCCTCCCTCCATCGCAGCTCCTACCCCACCTGGGAGCCCAAGCCACTCCTGGAGACCTTGGCCCCTGCTGGTCAGGCCCAGAAGGGGAAGGAGCCTGGCCACACCGCAGTCTCTAGCCCCGACAGGTTTATTGCCCACAGGAGGCAGGGAGGGTGGGGCTGTTTGTTCTGGGAAGTTCCTGAGCTCACCTGGCTCCCTGGCAGATGTGGCGTCACTGTGGAAACAGACCCTGTGGGTGGGTGTCCTTGAGGCCTACCTGCAGAAAACCCACAGCTATGGGTGGACAGGGGTGGGGTGGGCATGGCTCAGGTAACCAGGCAGGGAGGCTGTCCCACCTCACTGCCTCCTGGTGGGCACTGCTGGGTGAGGCTATTTCCTGACCCTCAAGTGGACATTCACATGCACAACCCGGTCCCCATGAAGCTCAGTAATGCAGGTCACATGTGCCTCAAGGAGCAAGGACAAAGGACATGTGAACCCCCAGATCTCCGCCCCCTTCTCCCCCTTGCTGGCCAGGCAGAGGCAGAACTAGGAGCCTGAGTGCCCCACCTGGCTGGCTCAGTGCCCAAGGCTGTTCCTTTACAGCTGCTCTTCATGGGGGGCCAAGAGGAAACAAGCTCAGCATGCAGCAGGAAAGACTGAGGTCAGACAAAGGGAAGGACTTCCTGGTGGCAAAGCTAGGAATATGGAGACAGGATGTCCACGTTCCTGTGGCCGTAAGGTCTTCACAGGAAGGAGAGGAGGACGGGAGTGTTGTGGTCTGGGTCTCTCCAGGCCAGGGTCTCACCCAAAGCCTGACCTCAGCTCCCTCGAGAAGACAGCCACACTGCGCCTGTCCTTCACATGTGTTTCCTCGCTTTCCTGGTGGCTACTGGGGGCAGTAAGGGCAGCTCAGGGCTTCATGGTGAGAAACCCCCTCCACAGCCACCACCTTGCCCAGAGGCATGGCAGGGGACGGAGGCAGTGGGTGTAGGATGGGAGTGTTTAAGGCATGTGGATAGGCGTGTGTCCCCATACTCTCATGCATCCTCCCCCAATACACCCATGGCATTCCTTCGACCAATATCTACCTAGCCCCTACCCCGCCTGACACCTATGGAAACCTATTCTATTGCTGCTCTGCCAAATTACCACAAACTGGGGGGCTTAAAACAACAGGTTCTCTCGCAGTTCTGGAGGCCAGAAGTCCGACATTGAGGCGTGGGCAGGGCCACGCTTCCTCCAGAGGCTCTAGGGGGGGATCCTTCCTGCCTCTTCCAGCTTCTCGTGGTCCCAGATGTTCCTTGGCTTGTGGCTGCATCACTCCAGCCTCTGCCTCCCTGGTTACATGGCCTCCTCCTCCCTGCTGCACACAGGTATCTACCAAGCTCCTACCATAGCTACTGAGCCCCAACTGTGTGCCCTTATCTGTAGAGCTCCAACGATATGCCGCTATCTACTGAGCACAGTTGCGGGAATATAGCAACAAACAAAACAGACAGACGCCCCCACCCTCTAGAGCTGACAGTCCAGTGAAGACAGACAGACAATAACCAGGACAGCAGTATGTAAGATAACTCTGTGCCCATGTGTAACTGTGGGCAGCAGCCTTCCTCCACTTCCTTCCTGTGCTGGCCTCTCTGCTGTCTGGAGTCACCTAGAGCTTTGATTCATTTACCTGTTCACTGTCTATCCCTGTAGCTAGAATGTTGCGCCCTACCTGGGGGACCAAGAGGACCTTGTACAGTATATAGTGCTGGGTATAAAGCAGGCACTCAATAACTGTCAGTGAAGTGAATGGATATATGCCTGCTTGTGCCAGCACACATACACATTCACGTGTGCACACCTGTGGTCACCTGTGGGCACTGTGTACTGGCCAGGCTCAGATTCCTACAGCCAGCCTGACCCCAGCACAGCTGGGAGCAGATGGAAGCTGTCCAGGGCCGGAAAGGCCCCAAACTTCCAGTGACAGCCATCGTCCATGAGGCCACAGGGCCAGCAGACAGTAGTGTCATTTTTCCCTCCACTTGACTACTTGTCACACTGGGTCTGTCTGGGCTTCCTGGGCTCCGTCACTAGCCAGCGTTACCCTGGACCCTGAACCCCCAGAGGGGCTCAGTCACCAGCCAGCCTCACCTGGGACCCTATACGCCCTGGTAGGACTCAGCCTGCCAACCTCCCCAGTCTCCACGGTCTGGCCCACTCTCTATAAAAGCTCAGTTTCAGGCTTTCGATGTGAAGCGCGTTGTGCCCAACATCTTCTACCTCTAAGGGCACTGAGGCACATCCCTGGGCAGGGAGCCGAGACTGCTGCCCGAGTGCCACATGGAAACTCCCCGGGCGGCTCCACAAATGCATTTTACAACCTCAGGACAGAAGCCCAGGCAGCTTGCTCAAGACTTCAGCTTCCCCTGGAGAGTGGTGCTTGGGGGATGGCTCTTGGGAGTACAGGGGAGGAGCCCTGGGTGCCAGCCCTGGCTCTGCTTGATCTGCCGTGTGACCCAAACAAGGGTCTGTCCTCTCTGAGCCTCAGTTTCCTCATCTGCACAGCAAGGCGTCTGACTGAGGCCAGCATCTAGAAGACGCTGACTCTGACCTCTCCCAGCCCTGAGACCAACCAGGCAAACATACACTCCATCCCAGTCCTGGCTCCAGCCATGACTTCTCAGGAGAATGCTTTTTCCAGAAGGTGCCTGGGTTGCGGGCGGCCTTCTGAGGACCCCCTTCCTGAGCCACCAGCCTAGGCACACAGATCTCTGTCCTAGCAAGCTGGGTGCCAGTCATTCAGCCAAACAGCGTTTGCTGAGTGAATATCTGATGGAGCAGATCCAGGCTCAGGTCAAGATCTGGCAACAAAGCCACCCACCCCAAGACCCTCCTGGGAGGAGACAGCCTAGATGCCTATCTCCTGCCCACCTCCTGCAGCTCCCAAGGACAGGAGCCCAGCCTCCATCTTGTCCCCTATCACTCTAGGGTGCAGAGGCCTGGCCAACAGGACCTGGGGTCGCAGGGTTTCCTGCTCTTCATTGGTCTATCTCCCACAGTGACCCTGGGCTGCACTCCCAAAGATGCCTGGACAGGCTGGGGGAAGGGGCAGTACCCACATTAGAAGCCTCCAGTAACCCTGATCTGGTGGCTGGGCCCTAGGACCGTAAGGGGTCTCAGAGGGCTTGAGGGCTGCTCTGATGGCCCTTTCCCAGGGATACGGGGGTGGGGGGTGGGGGGTGGCCAGAACCCAGGACACTGCCCTGAGTCACGAACTGACTAAGCCAGCGGGGGCGGACGGATATTCTGTTTCTGGCCCAGATCCACTTGGTGGAAGGGCAAACTGAGGCCACAGCGGTCAGCGTTGGGGGAGGGGACTCACACAGTGGCTTGTGCCTGCAGGACTCGGCTCTGCCCAGCCCAAGATCGTCCATCTCAGCGGCCCATGGTCTGGGAGTTCTGACTCTGCACCCCATCCCCAGAGCCCGGAGCAGGTCTGGCCTCGGCTTCCCCGTCTGTGTTAACAGCTGCATTGCCCATGCAAAGGGGTCAAAGAGTGCCGGGCGCGCGGGCGCCGCAGAGGTGACTCACATGAGGTCGGGCCGGTGGCGGTGCAGGATGGCGCAGAAGGCCAGGCCGTCGCGGAACGACGTGGTCATGTTAGTGATGTTCACGTCCCGGTAGCCCTCGCACTGCTGCCGGCACCACTGCTGCAGCGCTTTGATGGCGGCCATGCGGACAACGGCGCCCGCCGAGGCAGCGGCGGGACACGGCGGGAGCGCGGGAAACTCCCGACGCCGTTTCCCCGGACCGCGGCTCGGCCCGCCCTGCCGGACAGACGCAC